TGAACACCCGATGTAAATTGACTCGTTTACAGAGCATGATTTTGATATTTAGAAATAGCACACTAGCAATTTATTACAAAATGAAAAAACTTCATCCGAATATATTATCAAATTTCTTGCCAAACGTAAATGCGAAATACGTATTAATAATTCCTATTATATCACGATCATTTTCTTTGTTATTTCTGCTTAGAATATTCAAAGTTCAACGTGAAATGTTTTACTTTCAATCAAATACCCCACAAGCCTTTCTAAATTAAACCATGTACGATATCCAAAATATTACTTTGTTGAACAAGCAACCACAAACCGAGCATTAAAAGATTTCCTTACACGCGCGCATCCATGAATACCGGAGATTTCGTAAGATAATTTGCGACATCATGATATCGAGAAGTTCACGGGTCTTAGGTTTTATAAAATTTAATGGCATTGTTAGATTTTGTACTTATCTAATTTTTCATGTCGTTCCAATTTCATTTGGTTTTTGCCGGATGGATTTTATTTGTGTTTGCATATTAGTGGCATGTCGTTTTGTCCTAAATAGTTAACAATGTTCTAATCAAGAATTCGCTCGAATTTGACTTTGGGAGGACTGGTGATTATTAGCTTACAAGCTAAGAAATTTTATCGTGTGCTGACTTGAACCCGACTTATGTAATGATTCATGTGGAATTGTTGAATTATATGAATTTTTGCAAAATTATCGAGTGTATACACTTTTTTATCTAATCCATATTTACTATCCGAGGTAAAATTCGTATTTTATCAAATATTTTAATGTTTGTGAGACAATTATAATTCGAGTGAAATCAACAATTATTTATATCTTAGGAAGTCGCTTATAGCAGAAACACTTGGAAATATGCCAAACAATATTCTATATATACGACAACGGTATAAACACTCATTGTACAGCCGTGTGATATATCGTAAACCATATTCCATTTCACGGAGAAGGTATCCCAATATCTCAAAAACATTATAATATTACGATTAAAAAGTTGACTAATAATATGACTAACCAAGTCATGGAGTAAAGTAATCAAAAACAAAAATTCCACATTTTTCGAGCGAAAGAAAAAAACTCATTCAAAGCTTCTTACTTCTAAGTATTCCAATGAGAGAAACAATAAAATGATTTCTTCGATATTATAAATCATCTAAACTAGCAGTAACGAAACTTGATATGTTTACCCGCGGCCAAAGTATCGTCTGAAGACATGTAATCCAAAACATTAAGGCCATATCCTATATAAAACGTTATCAAAGCACTTAAAGTATGGGTAATACACTAAAAGCCATGGATCGTATGGGGTTTCAAAGGCTCAATATATTATTTCAATCTTAAGAACTTATACTGTTTTGTACATGAAACAAACACTGAAAATTTAAGTAGATTTACTGTGAAAGAACAACAATTTTCTTTGGAAAAGCCTCAATTTGTTTCGCAGTCAAAATGCCAAGCCATGGCACGACAAAAGTTGCTTTTTATGATATCGTTATCTTCTGTTAATGCGCATAAAATATAGGGTGATATAATCGTGTAATCATGAACGAAACACATTCATCTTGATCTCATAGGGAGTTTTAGTAAAATATTCTTATCGCACAAAAATAGGTACCCCCGTAGTATGTGTACCAGGTTAGGGTTAGGCCATAATTTTATTCCGATTTTGCTTATTTTAGTTCTATTACGAGTTCGGGGAATGTCTGTGTTAGCCAAGGGAATATACCCCTTGTTCATAGGCTTCCGTTCTTTTACACAACTTGATGTAAAGTGGGCGAACAAAATTAGTTACCTTCATATTGATACACATACTTCTGGACGATCACGAGGATTTCGATTGCAACGAGCGGGCGTTACTGCATTCAAATAGCTCCCGCATTAAGATAATTTATTTGTCTTCCCACACTACTAGTTTGATTACTATATGTAAGCATAACTGGAACAAGGATTTGTGTGATTCCCGGAAGGTATTCGTGTGAAAATATCAACAGTAATCTCTTATTCTTCCTTCCACGTCATAATTCGACATATTTCTACGTCACAAAGGTGTGAATGTATACTATGCTTGCCAAAAGATTATACGAAGCAAGGGAAATACCGGGAATAAATTTGATTATAATCTAATATTGCACATACGAGTGTTCAATTGTTTTTCTATTCTATTGCCATATTTAGTTTACAATAGGGTCCAATTAAAATAAATTTGATATTAGAATTAGAATACTTTTCCATAACGCTCTTTGAAATCTTACATTTTTACATTATGGGAAGATATGTACTGATTTTAATGTTTTGCTCTGTTACAAAATATTGTATTCTTGTATTTATTATATTGTTGTGTGTGATACTCTCATTATTGGAAATCAGCCAAAGTATTCAGCATTCTTTAATATATATGCTACAAAACCATTGTTTTCCAACAAGTTTTATCTCTTCGCAATTTCGCAATTCCAATGGTGATTTGTAATTCCACATTTTATTTCTGTAGATAATACCAACACAATCTACACTGAATTATACTTACTAAGCATGTGCAATTTTGAACCACGTTACCAGGTTATGAAATTTGGCAAAATTATATGTTTTTGTTGCTTTATGCATGACTGATAGCTCATTCCTCGAGTCGCACCCTTCAAGTAGTGTTGTCGAAACACACACCCCTCCCAGTATTGTGTTTGGTGTTCTAAAAGCTAGCCAAAATATCAATAGCAAGATATATCTTGAACGCTAACAATTTGCCTTTGATTCTACATTCTCTGGTCGTTTCAAAATGTTACTTAAACAGGCGATTGAGAACTACTGATATAAATGATTCGAAATTAAAACGGTTATCACTACAGAATTCCTTGCTATTATAATATATAAGAATAACATACTCTCTTTCCACGAAATAGTAAGTATATAGTTATGAGCTTTCGTTAGATCTCAGTCCAACTTCTTCAGATAAAACAATTAGATACGGCTTTAATACACAGCGAATAAAGCTGTAATAATATATATACGTATGGCGATTTGTTTATATCAAATGCAGTCTATTCACTCGAATAATATAATATATATAAAAACCTGAAAATGTCCTAACGCAGGATATTAAGATAGTCATTGCTATTGAAACATACATTTTATTGTTTTGATATTTTATTTATAGAGTCTTTCTGCACATTAACACAAATACATGTATTTTAGTAACCTCTCCTAAACTCTTGAATCAAATAAATATAGCTATCAGTGGCAAACGCATAGAACAAGGAAAGATATCTTGTGTCGCGTACATACATGGTAGAAACATACATTTTTGTGGTTCTCTAATGTATATTCATAGATACACCTTGATACAAAACTTCTAAATTTTGACAGTAATGGCAAATTTGCGGTTGACGAGGAATTATGGGGTTTCGTTTTGGAAATATATATATAGATTTTACAAAGCAGTACTGCTGACAAGGGATACTTTGATGCGGGTTGAAGGATTAACAAGTAAAAATATATCGATGGTGAAAAATAATAGTTTTTGAATGATAATTTGTCATCATAAAGTGTTTGTTCTTATTTGCTTATGCTGCCCTTAGTGTAACCCATGGATAGAATGATTTTTAGTCTGGTTAAATTAATTTCCATCACCAGTAAGTGAATACTTTTGCCACCATAGGCTGAGTACGGTCATTTATGTAAACTTTTTCTTCAACGCAAACTTTCTCAAATAATTTTGAACTATTGAATCGAAATATCAGTAGCAATGAGCGATGACACTGTGAATCAGTTTTGGTCTGTCGCAGTCGTTTCTCGTGTTAATTTCGGATTCATATTCACCTTGAAGATGTGGATTTGTGATTGTGATATTTTCAACTTGGGTTTTTAGTTTTGCTCTGGTTTAGCATTTTATGACATTGTTCAATTTGGAAAAACCAATTTCAATTTAATCAATCTCGAAATCATTATGTTTGTTTTATGTTTGTATTTCAGTAATTGATTTTTAAATCTCAAATATCAGTTTTCCAATTTGTCAAAGATAACTTAGAATTGAATTATTTTCGTATGCGTTGCTACATTTGCATAAGTTGGTATTTTTAATTTATATATTTTGGTGTGTGGAGCAAACGAAATCCTGATTTTTGCAACGCACACTGTTAATATTGATGGTAGGATATAAAATTTAGATATGAGAATGCCTTCGTATATTTGGGCATCAACGAAAATCAATTCGATTTAGCAACGTCTCAAATCTAATACATAAAAACTAATTAAGTGTTTTGACAATCATCGGCCATAATTATGTATTCTATCTGTACATGGAAGTAATAAAATCATTTTACGATGTCTATGTTTTATGAGATCGCGTGGAACATGCAAAAATTAGTCGTAAATATATAATGGTAGCGATTAGGATTTATCGCGTCGATATTCAGCAACAAAAGGCGTAATAATGCGTTATTTCTATTGTTTTCGCGTATTAGTTCATCACGAATTAATAAACCATAATCCAGCTTAGATTTGCGACGCACAGCGAAGCGTCGTGCATCTGGATAACGACGCACTGGCCCCTGCGATGCCTTTTTTCTTTTTTCCCGTCCGTTCGATAATCCGCAAGTCATTTTTTCTCGCGTTCAGTCAAAACAAGCGATCGCGTTACGACAAGAACACAGTAGCTATGTATTCATCGACGAGATCAGTGTCACGACAAGTGTTTACAAATAAGCATTTATACGGCGTTGTGAAGGCTTGCGTTCATTCTGTCGATATGTTCTATACAGTTTGTGAGCAAGACACAATTTGTATAGTTTAAAGCGAACATGTCTTTATGTAATTCTATGAATGTCTTTGTGTAATGTAAATTGCATCTGATTTCAAAGTAATATTCTGCGTAGGCTAGAATTGAAGACCGTTATAACCGCTGCGCTTTGTTGTTTGATTTTTATCTATATATATTACACATTGCAGAAGAGGTGTGGATGTGAGCGTTCGTGAAACATTGAATTTTACCCTATTTGTTTTTTATAAACACAGATATAAGTAAAGCACAATATATAAGAGATAGAACAGAGCAGTTACCTTATCAGTACTTCTGCATATTTAAACGGCTTAAATCTTAGTTTGTTATCGGTATTCGTTTCTCAACTTAACAACAATCTGAGACCAGAAGAAATTTATTCATCTTCAATTTTTTGAAAGAATGAGGAGCAGTTATAACATGAGGGAACGACTTCTTATCTTCGTGTTATTCGTATGGACGGGAAAAAGCGGTAAGCTAATTTTATTTGAATATTTTGTTGTTATCGGTGAGGTGTCGCTTTGTTGGCGGTAACTTGTTCGATCAAAATGCAGTCGATTGCAGATTTAGTTGTCGTTCCGCGTTTTATTTTTGAATGCATTCTAGATTTAGCGCATTACCATTTAATTTCCTCTGTTGTGGTTATCACGATTAGAATGGTGACGTGCGGGCGCCAGTTAATTAATTCTAATCACCGATTTTTAATACGTACTTCCCACTACGATTATTCGGTCATTATTGATATCACGGCGCGTTCTATGGAATGCTATTCTAAGGTTAACAGGTATCGACCAAGAGTACAGATCGTCAAACTCTCTATATCACAATGGTACACTTCGTACTGTAAAATTCCTGCTGTGAATATTATGTCATCCACCCGTGTATTTTAATTGTGCTGATATTCATTGATTATCTTAGTACACCTGGATATTTCGTTGTTCTGTTTGCCTATAGCGCAAATATAATGTAGTTGGATTTCACGGGAGATAAGAATGCACTCGAAAACATACTAAATTAATTTAATTTATAAGCAACGCTTGGTAGTTATTCGCTTTCGAGTATTTGAACAAAGTTTATATGCTAAACAAACCTGGAAAATATAGTATGTAACAACGTAATTCTGATAATCGGAAATTTCATTAAGGTGGCCATTTATGTTGCTTTCATAAAGCACGTTTCGCCAAGTTTAGAATTTATATGCTTGAGTATAAACTTGAGGGGGTTTCTGAATATGTATCTAATTTGTGTATAAATATTAGTATCTCATTATTTGGCGCTCCAGAAGTGTGTGTACCAATATGAAGTAACTAATTTTGTTCCTCCACTTCACTACATCAAGTTGTATAAAGGGACTGAAACCTAAAATTATGGCCTAACCCTAACCTGGTACACAAACTACGAAAGTACCCATTATTTTGTATGTTTTACTTAGATATATGAGTAAAAATTCGTAATCTATTGCGGATAACAATCTTGTACGTCTTATTGTTCTATTGATCTATTTTGCTTAGATCTATTGCTCGTCGTTTTAATTTTATTAATATTACAATTTCTTTCGTGGAATTTTTATAGATAAGAATTTCCTACTGTGCATAAGTGGTGGATGATAAAGTAAACATCGGCTCCCGTGGTTTAGAAACTTTATCTACTAATACGCGGGATATATTTGCGTTTTAACGTGGATAAATATTTACCAACGAAATAAAAAATTTAATAAAATTCGAAACTTTTACTAAAATTATCGTTAACGCGAGATCCTGTCAGAATTAACGTTTCTTACACATTTTCCAACAGTTTCGTGGATATCACAGTCTGTGAAGATTGGAGCTGGCTTCATGGCTAAATTAGACAATTAATGAATAATTCACATATTACAAAAAGTTTTAAATATTAATTTCATTGCGATATCTTGGTGAAACAACGTAGCGAAATTTTTATTTGTGACAGCTGAACATGAAATGTACGTTAGATGAAAATGCGATAAGAGTCTAATTTTTATAATATGTACCATGTGTGCATTCCAGAGAGTTCACTGATAATTACCGCGCGTTGGGTTTCAACTAAAATATTTTTTCATATAAACGGAGGTTATTGTGTTTATATTTTTCTTAAACTGACCGTGGGGTTTATCTTAATCTAATACGCAACTAAATGATCCCAAATCGAGTCCGTACTAGCATTGGCTCAATATGTTCTCACTTCTATAAACTTTGTGCATACCTGTCTAGAATTCGACCCTAATTGCGTCTTTTGAAGTTGAACCAGTGCTTTGTACCAAACCAATGTCCACGCTTTACCATAAGTGTAAATTCGATATCCCCCTTTCTTGTATGTGTCCCATTCAGAAGCATATCTCGCCTCAATTCACGCGAAAAGGCGCCTATCCCAGGACGTTATTTAGACAGTAAAAGATTTCCCCACTCCACCCTACTAGATTCTTTTCCCTTTTTAAAGCAGGCATGTCCGGTAACAAGTGACCAGTGCTCGCCACGGGGACAACTTATCCCTCTATTTTACCGCAAAAGTAAACAACAGGCATCCTGGGCACGCAGACTTAATAATTTTTAAGCTGACTCCTTTTGAAATTTTGACAGTGACCATAAATCGTTGTCAAATTGCTCTTGTCATGTCATTTGTTGCGTGCGACCAATAAATTCGTCTATTATCTTTCATTTATCTTATTCGTCCCCATTTTTGGTAATATCGCTATTGTAACAACCTCATTATTTTTCGAATCCTACAATTTTTGACAAAAACACAGACCACCTACAAATTTGAATAATATGTTTTCAAAACAATCGCTAGCGTTCGCTAGATCTTTTATTTTTCATATTTTTTATTTCATGCTTTCAGTGTTAATGCAAAATTGATATCCATTCATAATACCTACCGTAATTACAGCCTGGTTACAATTTCTTACTCAATTCATTCCGTGTTGAACCAATATCAGACATAAACCAAAGTCAGACAGACAAGTATAGACGGCATAAACAGTCCTGAAACATAACACTCACCTAAACCGAGTTTCACAGTTCACCTGCATTTGTGAGCGTAATTGGTAAACATAACTGAAAGTTGGCCTTCAGTTTGTGGACAAAAATAATCTAAAGACTATAGTTTGTTAAAAAAAATGGCAAATTTTTATCGATATCTGAAGCATTTGCACAATGGTCTTTACGTTTTCATTAACTGCAAAAGACTCATGTCTGCAATACTGCGTTAATGATTCCAAATTCTTTAAATGTTTAGAAGGCTTTATAACACTTAAACGATTTAAAGTCGCCCAACGAGAAGAGAATTAAGTTCAATTTGTAGTCGTTTAGAAAATTAACTATTACATTTCTGGTTCAATGCGTATACCGTGCTCAAGTTATTAGCTTGGCATTAAAGAAGACTTAGTGGCGTATGCGATCAGTTTAAAGCTTATTTTTTGCGTTATTAGGCCTCTGACAGAAACCATTATCTTTTTATCATTGCGGAATAAGTTCCGACCGATATGATATGATAGCGAATGTTTCACCTTTGAATGTGTCTCGATATTTCAGAATGAAAATACTTTATAGTAACTTTTTACCATATATTTCATGTTTTGGAAGTATACTTTTGTTATGCAATCCCCGGTGATTTAGTATTAGTTTATTTTCCATTGCTTGGCGTAAAAGACTCCGTACATTTTACATTTTCATCGTATGGTATTTCTTGTAAAAAAATTTCCGATTTCATTGATGGTTTCAAATATAATATAGGAAAACAAATACAATTAGAAACTCGAGATATCGGCATGAAATTTCTCTTTTCCTCATTTATCAGTCAATATTTTCTTTCGCGTCGTAAAATAGGTTTAGGACCTAACTTATTCGTGATATTTTTACCCCACTGCATGCAAATACTTGGCGCTCGTTGAGGCGAACTGAGGAAATCGGCGCGATCTAAAATGTCTTTATTTTTCTTCTATCTACTATTATTCAACCAATGTTGGGAGAATTTTGCTTTATATTTTCTTTCTTTTAAAAAGTATAATGGAACTAATAAATTATAGTCATTTTATAGTCAATATCTACAACTTGTAACAATTATATATATAAGCATGTGACCTAGTATAAATGTATAAAGTTATTGTGCGAGTGCGCCCTGTTTACCTAATATTACGACAGCTTTATGGCTCTGTAATTACAATTTTATTGCATTGTCTTGCGCCTATTTTATTACCATACCGCGTACTATTTGTACAGCGTTAATATTATTTTTGTGAAGCATGCAAAATTTATCAATTCTTTTATCAAATGAAATCCATACGGATATTTGAAGTGTTTTGTAACCTGTTACCATCTCAGACGCCACACAACTTTTCCAAACGTCTCAAAATTTTTTGAAATAATTTACGCAAAGAATAGAACTTGTGTGTTTGTTAGAAAGGTATTGGTTACCCACGTTATTTTTTTATATTAAATCCAATGGCAGAAACCCTTGTAAAGCACTTGAAATTTCACCTTGTGAAACTCAAGTTTCCGGCCACACATTTGACTCATTGAGTGCTCGCCAATTCAGATTTTCCTCAAGTAGATTTTTTTGAGATTTTGCGGTACTTCGTATACAGATTCATTTAATATAAATCTTGAAAAATAATTTTGGTTTCCAACAAAGAGGAAAGTTTTGAAATATTATCTAGTGCCTTTATCTTATACAACGTTAATAAAACTATTGCAAATGTTGAATATCAAAACTGATCGAAAATTTAATTACAAAAAATTATTATTCTTTTTCCCTTGTGAGATAAATTTTTACTAAATGTTCCAATTAGTGGCGGGTCACAGGTGTATTTGAGTTTTAAGTAAAAGTAAAATTTACGATTCGAACTGACATTTATTTACCGAAATCATTAAAATTCAGTTCAAACATTTCAGACAATAAGCTACTCTTTTGCTAACCAAATCAGGAAACCACGAAGCATGGGGGCAAGACTTTATGAATACACTGGTATTTGATACAGCCGATATTTTGGACACATCGGGCCACCGCCTTCATGTCAAATGCCATTGACAAAGATCATAGTTTATGTATGCATACACGCTACAATGATTTCCGGGATGAACGCTGCTTTTTACATTAAGTATGAATTACACCCAATGCGTCATTCACATAGTAAATAATAACATTTACCACAAAACCGCCTTAATTTTAAACATAAATGTTACATCATAATGATAGAATCACAAATGCATTATTACATCATATTCGCTATTCGCTCTTGTTACTTGCATCAATGGTTCGCAGTAATGTTCACTCTATTTGTTAAAATGTGAATACGTACCGGTAAAGTCTTACTATACTATCTATATTACACGGTTGGGTAACACCATATTTTATATATATTGTTGCTTCGCTCTTTGGTTTCGAGTAATGGTGTATTTTGTTAACCTACGGTAAACCCGAATCCACAAAAAGTGACGTAATACTAGCACCGCGTTAGAA